GTGTACCTCCTCCTCCTCTTGACAGTTAGCAGAGCACAGCAGACAGTCTGCTGGTTTGTCCTCCGTGCCGAACTTAAAATATCTCCAAACTGCCGATCTTCTTCTTCTTCTTCTTTTCTTCTCATCGTTCTTCTTCTGTTATTCGGGGGTGCGGTCGGAAATAACGTGTCAGTGCATTAGCGCCCCCGCCTGGTATGGATTGTTGTTTACCCTTTGTGCAGCGCAGCACAGGAGGGGACAAAAGTGGTATCGGTTAAGAGTATCGGCTGGCTTTTACGAGTACGAGTACTTGATGCTGGTATCGGATCCGATTCCGATACTGGTATCGGTATCGGGACACCTCTAGTTAATAATGTTGTCTTTCCAAAAATGCTTTCACTTTTCTTACAAAAAATTGATGTCACAGGAACTTTAAGGTTTCATCTACAGCAAATTGGGGTTAAGACCCCACTGTAGGTCGTAAAACTCTAAATTTTGGGTCGTTAGATGATTTCCAGTTTAAAACTGATTGCTAAGAATGTTTCTGCTCTAGTTAAATATGGATAAAAACAATTGGACTATTATCAATATTTTAATACTTCAACCAAAAATACTTTGATTCATGAGTTTCTGCCATTGTTTTTATTATTTTGTCATTGTGTTTATTATGAAATTGTTCTTAAATTTAATTTCACTTGGCATTAAAAAGTCTTAAATTTAACTTTCCTTAAACTGTAGGAACCCCGTGTATGACCTGAGCTTTTTTTAATTTAGTCTTGTGTCGGAAGGTTTGAACTTGTTTTGTCRTTTTTCCACCTCGGTTTTGACCGACTGCAGCCTTCGCCCTCGAACCTCCTCCAGTTCCTCCCAGTCCGAAAGGAGCACCAGTCCTTTGGTGATGAGCAGCACCCACAGCCTGGAGACGATGCCCCGCTTTGCCCTCTCCACTGATGACGAAGGTAAAACCTCGACGTCTCACAGTGTTTGGCTGCTTCGTTAACAACGAGCTCATGTCTGTTTCTACACTGTGCCGCTCGCAGCCGAAGTGGTGGTGTCAAACCTCAGGAGGATCAGGATTCGAAGCAACAGCACCGGAGCCAAACACTCGTCCCCCAAGGACCCGGCGGCCCCTCGACGCTTCGGCAACCAGCTGGAGACTCCAGACAGACAGAAGCTTCCCAGTGGAGGAAAAGTTCCCAAATCAGCCTCCATCTCTGCTCTGTCCCTCATCATCACAGCAGGTACGCACGAGGTTATCACCAAATCAGTGTCGAACGACACATCATCAGATACATTTTACTGATAAAAGGTCAAAGATGTTAATCAGGTTGTATTTGTGTGTTAATAAGTTCATCTTTTTGTGTGTCTCAGATGATTCGCCCAGCGGCCTCCAGCCCAGTCCCATTTCCCCACGCTCGCTGTCTTCCAACCCCTCATCTCGGGACTCGTCCCCTAACAGGGATTTCTGTTTCAGCCCCGGCAGCCTGAAGCCTCCGATCATTATTTACACCTCAGGGAAGAAGTATGGCTTCACCCTGCAGGCCATCAGGGTCTACATGGGCGACAGTGATGTCTACACTGTGCATCACATGGTGTCGGTGGGTGCTATTATCATTTTAAACCAGCATTCATGGAAAATAGTGCAAACATTTTTCTGTTTGAAGGCTTTAGGTATCAACATTTAGGTGTTTTTTTTTCCACCATGACTGTAGTTTTCAGTTTTATTCTCCCGATCCTGAATTTGAAGAGGTTGTTACAAACGTGAGGTTACGTAACGCTGATGTGAAACTCCTCTGCTCGTTGTTTATAAAGAGTGTGGAGGACGGCAGCCCAGCTCACCAGGCAGGCCTCCGCACCGGAGACCTCATCACACACGTGAACGGAGAGCCTGTTCAAGGACTCGTCCACCCAGAGCTGATTGAACTGCTCCTCAAGGTCAAACAGCCACATAAAGCGTTCTCTCGTTTTTAAACCGGCTTAAAATGACTTTGCCTTTTCTCCTAAACTCTTTAATTCTCTTGAAATGTGCAGAGTGGTAATAAGGTGGCTCTTCAAACCATCGCGCTTGAAAACACGTCAATCAAAGTGGGTCCAGCTCGAAAGACCAAACATAAAGGGAAGATGGCCCGTCGCAGCAAGAGGAGCAAAAGGAGAGATAATTACGACAGGTGAAGATCTGAAGTTTGCTAGTTGTTTCCTTGTTTGATGCTTGAGAAGCGACATAAAATCATGGAATCCATCCGAAGTGTCTTTCAACCTTCTTGTCCTCCTTTCAGGCGACGAACCATCTTGAAGAAGCTCTCCAAGCAGAGCACAGTGATTCACAGCAGTCGCAGCTTCTCGTCAGGTCTCCATCATTCTGTTTCCTCCAGTGAGAGCCTCCCCGGCTCCCCGACGCACAGCCTGTCCCCTGGCCCCTCCACGCCCTGCAGGAGTCCAGCACCGGAACATCAGGGCTGTGGTGAGTGGTCGCTTATTCACGCASAAGTTCTACAGTTCTGATGGGTAAAATAATACAAAGTCATTCAGTATTGTTGTTAAGACCCCTGTGATCGCCGTCTTTAAGCCTTTTTTACACTGCATGTCTTCAAACCTGGGTTCAGCATATTTGCGTTAGCCTTTWTGGCCCAGTTCCACCTTGATTTCTGGAACCCTGAGACCTGTGGCTCTCTCCTGGCCGTGCTGCTCCGCCCAGTCTGACGTCAGCTACTGTTGCTCATTGATTGGTTCATTGACCGGCGGGGGGTTATGTCACACAGATGAGAGTCACTTTATGTGAATCATTTGTAGCAACTAGGGATGCAAACAAATAATCGACTTAAGATAAATTGTCGAATAATGATTTGTTAGATTAAAATTTGTTCCGATTGTTTAACTGATAACGCCCGCTCTAACCAGAAACATACGTCCTCTCTATGACTCTGTTACAATCTAAGTCAAAAGCAGAGACTTCAAACTTTAAACCAGTTTTTAAATTGTGTTGATAAACCAGAGTACGCTAAATAGKTTACACCACCATTTTTTTTCTTAAAATTGTCATCTAATGTACATCAAATCACTTGATTGATTTTTTTCTTTTTTCAAGTCAAGCAGCAAAAAATTAACATCTCCTATTTTATTCAGCAACTTAATAGGTTTCCTTTTTGTTATGTTTTATAAATTAGTCCAAGTTTAATAACTTGAGAGAAATCCACATATTTTTTTGTATATTCAGTCTGTATTTAATACAACCGGCACAATAAATTGTTAAAATATTATGATGTTCTTCTGTTTTGAAATTCAGCTTATTATCATAAGAATTAACTCTTTATGTTATGGAAAGACCCTCTCATATGAAAAAAAAAAACCTGTCCGCTTATTTATTAATCATTAGTCGATTGATAGGATCGATCAACTTCAGATTAATTCATTCATCGATAACTTGCATTCCTTGTAGTGACTAACATGTTTTCACTCGAGTTCAACCATATAACGGCAAGATAATATTAGCTACCGTTAGCTTAGCGTGTTCTGTTGTCCTGCCYTCTTTACTGCTGGATGGTCCGGTTCAATCTCCGGTRCTTTTCCTTCAAGTTTATTGTAGTYCATTATTGTTTTGTSACAAACAAAATAAGATTTGCTCATGTTTRTTATTATGATCCCGCCCGCATCGAGGCGGCTCTCGACTCAATACAAACCCAAGCAGGGCAGAGATAGCGTAAGGCCAGGCCAACTGGAACCAGTGCGGGCCAAGGYGGGCCTAACGATACAAAAACCCATTTTGATGTCAGTCTGCTTCCTCTGCTTCACAGACAACTCTCCTCAGAGCACGTCCCCCTGCTCCAGCTCTCCCAGTTCTCCAGCCACACACATCCGGCCCAACTCGCTCCACGGCCTGGGCTCCAAACTGAACACRCAGCGCTTCGCCAAGGTGGGCCGCCGCAAGTCCACCAGCAACATCCCCCCTTCACCTCTGGCCTGCAACTCCTCCTCCAACCAGCCGCTGTCCCCGCAGCGCTCGCCGTCTCCGCTTCCGGGCTTCGCCAAAAACCTCCACACCTTCCACGGCAAAACCTTATCCCCCCCAACCATCGTTCGGCACGTGGTCCGGCCTCGCAGCGCCGAGCCGCCTCGGTCTCCTTTGCTAAAGAGGGTGCAGTCAGCGGAGAAGCTTTCAGGCGTGTTTCACGCCGACAAGAAGTCCTACGCCCCCCGCAGGCACACGCTGGAAGTGCCGTTTTATGGCGAGTGCGACCTGATGGGCGATGCCGAGGCAGAGGGGGCGTGTGGAGGGTTTTACATCGCTGCGGACCACGGCAGACTGGGGGGCTACATGAGCAACCAAAGGATGCGAGACTCCGGGACCGAACGATCCGAGCAGCTAGTCGTGATGAGGAAGCTCAACCTGTCGGAGCGGCGAGACTCCTTCAAAAAGCAGGAGGCGGTGCAGGAGGTGAGCTTCGACGAGCCGGAGGAGAAGAGCAGCGGCGCAGTGACGGGAACCGCCGCAGCACCGGGAGCTCAAACGCAGCAGCTGCACAGGAAGCCCTGGACGATCGCCCAGTCTCAGAGCCGGGAGGACGTGGAGCCGGAAGTACCGGCGGTGAGGAGGTTCACGCTGGTGCCTCAGATCGCTGTTCAGGGCTCGACGGAGAGCGAGGAGCAGGACGAGTGGGAGCCGTGCTCGGACGGAGAGGAATCCAACGAGAACCTGGAGCTGGAGSCGTCTTCGTCCTCGCAGCAACAACCCGAACCTCTCCCTGACCGCTCTCAGGCGGTTGGATCTACTTCCTGCGGTCATCAAAACGCTCCAGCATCTCTGACTGCTGAGCGCAGCGAGGAGACGCTACGAAAAGAACACACAAGGAAGTGAACACATCACTGAACACACACTGCACTCATTTCAGCTGCTTACATCTGATCTATGAAGCCTCTCGATTGAAACAAAATGAAGCTGAGTTGTTTCCAGTTCGACCCAGATAAGTGCTCAAGTTGTGAACTTACAGACTTCTCTGGCTGAAAGTGTGGAACAAAGTTTTACTTGAATTTTGTAATGTAAATATTTTGCCTTTAGGCAGTGGAGACTCTCTGGTTATATTTATAATGTTTGTAAAGTATGATGCATTTCTAACAAAGAGGGAAGTTCTCATTGTTTGAGTAGCCAAGGTTTAAAGATTTTGTATTCATCAAATGTGGTTTTATGTTTTTTGAATGTCTTTTTTTCTTAAAGTCTATTTTCTATTGTATTGCGGTGGTACAGACAAAATGCTGGAATGTTGTTGGACCAAAAGAAGCAAGAAATGATCTTATGAGTCACGATTTGGTCTTTTTTTTTTCCCTCCTCAGTATCTGTTAGATATGAATAACTGCAGTTGAATTCGTCACTGTGTTGTTCTGTTTGTCAGCATGGAACAATCCCACTGAAACACCACTTTGAAAGGCAATCATAACAACGAGACGAAGGCGACTTGAAGGTTTTGATGTGCCATCATTTCAGAGCTCATAATCCATATTTGATGATGGGACTGACAAGCTGACACAAAGTTTTTTTTTTTTTTTTCAAAGTGTCTCTTCTCAGCTGGTCGTCATCTTTAAAAAAAAGAATAAAGTTGTGGATGTTGCTGATTTTTTGAGGTCACTTGAACTCCGATGCATCGTTGCAACAATTTGTTTAGGTGGATTCAACTTTTTGGTTATAGTTTTGCTTTCTTTTCTTACAGTGAGAACGCGTTCTGAACTTGCAACATGTTTGTGTACTTTCTAAAGTCTTCAACAAACAAACATACAAATAAAACCTTAGTGTTTGCWGTAATATTTCTGTAAGAAAAACCACTTAAATGATCTGTGTTTTGGAGTCTTGTTTACATCGGAGGGGAGAGTGCACTATTTTGATGTTCAGTATATTTTGTATCTAAACGTGATCGGCAAACTGGAAGCTGCACGTTTTTCTGTAAATCCAAAGGCAATCTTGGAACAATTTTTTTGTGTGTGTCTCTTTTGTACAAATACTGATGTATATTTTAGTATCCAGTCTTTGTACCCAAATATGTTTGAGAAAATTATGTATGCACAAAGACAAATCGTGGAATCAGGATTTTTGATAATACTGACTTTAAGGAGTGTTTTTTTTCTCCCCATTGTTTTTCAATAAACTGTCAGGTTAGGATTGATCCACACAGGTTTCATGTACAGGACGTTTTACCTGTAAAAAGCTGAGGGTGGTTTTATTAATTTTGTACCATGTCTCCTTGTCTTGTGTTTATAAAGCGTCAGAACTGATCATGTGTTACTCAAACTCCTTTTCCTCTCCTGAAAAGTCTTTAAACCTTGCAATGACGTCCCACACAGTGCTGTTATTGTTGGTGGACAGAGCACTCAACGGCTCAGTAATTTCTGCAGCCTGACAGMATTGTTTACAATGAACAAACATGCAGTGTACTGTACAAACACTTTATATCACGTGATGAAATGTTCTTTGATACCAAGAAAGAAAGAAAAAACGCAACTGACGTTGAATAGCTGTTTTGTTTTTGTTTCWAAGTACTTGTTCTTGAAGAGTAATTTAGTACCAAACTATGAAATGTTTTTGTAAGTTTTACAAGCGCGTTGGAAAAAAAAAACATTGCTGGCCTTTAGTCGCCTGTTTTTTAAGAAAATATACAGACTCGTAACTGATTAAACCAAACAAGAAATTATAGACAAATTGAGTCACTCAGCTAAAGCAGAAGCCTAAATTATTGACTCAGTTTGCACTAACACGTAAAAAAATAAATAAATTGTATCAGGTGCAAAAATAAGACAGGAAGAAYGATGTAGCGAACTGAATAACAGTTGCAAAAAAAAACCTGCTCTCTAAAATTGAGAGATGCGACTAAATTTGTCAATTGAATTTCAAAATGTTTTTTTTAATAAATAGCTAGAACTTTCATGTGAATGTTAAACRTACTCCACCAGGCCCAGGCGGTGTGCTGCAGCCTTTAGGGCCAGCGGAGGTCAGCTGTTCAACAAAGTACCAGATGGAGCTGTTGTACATGTGCCCGTGTTCACCTGTGGACTCTTCTGTTCAGTGCATGCTGCATGAAACAAGCACTCGGCTGTAATACTTGACTGCATGGTATACTGGCATTGTTGCCCTGTACTGTGTTTTATTGTGCAAAGAATAAACTTTGTATTTCTCTTTGAGCTGTTTTGTTCTAATCTGAGAATCCCCATTATAACAAGCACTAACATTTGTTTTTATTAACATTTATCTTTTAATACTCAAGATTTTAAAATGTCCCTAAAATACATTTTAAATCTAAATGTTTTGCTAGCTGCTTGAAAAATGTATTTAATTCAAACTACAAGATGCAACTTTAGGCTTGTGAGAAATACAGTAATTTCACTGTGCTCTGTACAACAATAAAGGTCTAATCTAATAAAAAAGATTAGTAAATGTTAATTATTGGGCTTGATTATGTAATATATTTGGCAATTCTGTAATTTCATTCTGGACTAAAGAAAAATCTTCAGAAACAGAATAGAATAGGAAGTATTTAAGTAATTATTAAAGTATTACAAAGGTGTGTAACTTATCAATTTAGCACTAATAATTTCTTATTTTTATTTTTGAAGTATTGCCAGTGAATGCATTCAAAATAGACACAACTGAAAATGTCATGTTTTCAGTGATTTCTGAACTATTGTAGAACATTATTAATCTATTAAAACATAATGTCACGTTCTTTGAAGTGCTGACTCCAATATTTATAAAAATGACAGACTCCACCACTGAGTTATTTATTTTTCAGTCAGATGTTTTATTTTATTCTGCCTTTATCGCATTCACTTGTAGTTCTTAATTGTTACCAGCAGGCGTCAGTAAAGCGTCACGAGACCAGTTGATYAAACACCACAGAAGAAGATCCGTGTCCTTCACAAAAACAGCTAGCATGGCTACTGCTACTAAATTCATTCAGATGCTACGAAATTTTTTAGCTGGGGTAAGTAATGAAACGGCGGCCACACTTTAAGATATGACAGGATGATTTGTAAATTAAAAATGTCAGTGTTTTTAAACACATCGACAGCATTAACCAACAAGCTAGCGCTGGCTAGGTTTAGCTAGCAGCATTTAAGAAAAACGTTATGAACAACAGCGAAAGTATCTCATTTTATGTACTGCATACAACAAACAAATATTAACCGCGACTGTGTTTATTTTTCAGCAAAATGTGCAAAGCAAACTGCAGCTGCGTTATGAGGAAATATCAAAGAGGTTAGACTTCTTGCACCAACATTTACCAAATCAACTTCCACATTTTATTAGACACTAAACTGAACAAGACRTTTTGTTTGGGAAGTTTTACCACTGTAACCCTTTTAAGCCGTTCAATAATGCAGACGTAATTTTGTTTACATTCATGTCCTGCACATGTAGTAACACCGCAGGGAGGAAATTACATTTACCTATGCAGCAGTTAGAAGTTATTGTGGATTGTGTCTTTTGTAAACACTTAAAATTGTTTAGAATTTTATTTAAAATAGTCTGAACTTTGATTTGCTTGCACATTATGGTTGTTAAACCTGTTGCCAAGTTGCAAGCAATTGATTTGTGCAGTTATTTGTGCATTAGTGCTCTGTACAAAATAAATTGTGTTCAGATTGCAGTGATTTCAAAGAAACAAGACGTTTAAAATCAGTTTCAGTGTTAGTAAAAACTGACCCATCACATCAAACTGAGGATTAAGTCAAATTTGGTCAAAATGACATTTTCAGATTCCTAAGGAAAAAAATTGTATAGGTCTTCTGGACGGGTTCTTCTCTAATGAAACGTTTCGTCTCTCCTCCAAGAGACTTCTTCAGTCTGAGAGTTTCAGGCAAAATTCAGGCTTTTAAGCMCTGCCTCCATGTGACTGATACTCACATCACATGGCTATCGTTGACACCTAATTAACACCTATTGTTAACAGGGGATGGAGTGATACTGGCAATAGCCACACTGTAGGAGGGGGACAACTGAAAACAGAGGCCTCCACCTCTGTTTAATGATGGACGGTCTTTCTTCACAAAAATGGCTTCTTTTACTCCTCTCTCAAACCAACGTTCCTCTCTATCAAGAATGAGAACATCCTCATCTCTGAAAGAGTGACCGCTGGCCTGTAAATGAGTGAAAACTGCAGAGTTCTGGCCATTAGACGTAGCTCGTCTGTGTTGGGACATTCTTTTGAACAGTGGCTGCTTTGTTTCCCCGATGTATAACTGGTCGCAGTCCTCCTGGCACTTAACAGCATATACAACATTGCTCTGTTTGTGCCGGGGCACCGGATCTTTGGGGTGAACCAGCCTTTGCCGTAATGTGTTTTGGGGTTTGAAAGCTACTGGGACATCATGTTTAGAAAATAAACGTCTCAGTTTCTCTGAAACACCCACAACATACGGAATAACCACTGGTTTGGGTCTGGGTTTGGGGTCTTCATTTTCACCTGAAGGTTGCATGGAATCCTGTCTGTGTTTCCTGTCTGCTTTCAGGAAAGCCCAGTCAGGATAAGCTGTTATGATATGCTGTTAAGTGCCAGGAGGACTGCGACCAGTTATACATCGGGGAAACAAAGCAGCCACTGTTCAAAAGAATGTCCCAACACAGACGAGCTACATCTAACGGCCAGAACTCTGCAGTTTTCACTCATTTACAGGCCAGCRGTCACTCTTTCAGAGATGAGGATGTTCTCATTCTTGATAGAGAGGAACGTTGGTTTGAGAGAGGAGTAAAAGAAGCCWTTTTTGTGAAGAAAGACCGTCCATCATTAAACAGAGGTGGAGGCCTCCRTTTTCAGTTGTCCCCCTCCTACAGCGCTGCCATTGGCAGTATCACTCCACCCCCTGTTAACAATAGGTGTTAATTAGGTGTCAACGATAGCCATGTGATGTGAGTATCAGTCACATGGAGGCAGGGCTTAAAAGCCTGAATTTTGCCTGAAACTCTCAGACTGAAGAAGTCTCTTGGAGAAGAGACGAAACGTTTCATTARAGAAGAACCCGTCCAGAAGACCTATACAATTTTTTTCTTTTTGATTTTTTACCTGGATTACTGAGATGCATCAGGACTTTCAGATTCCTACTTTTTAAGCTACATTTTGATACCTGGATCATCACGATCATGAGTGGTTAAAAACATATGGCTTGATTTGTCTTCCAATCCAGTGATTGATTGATTGATTGWTTGATTGATTGATTGATTGATTATTATTTTGTCTAAATCATACTTTTAGTGTATTATGATGAGGAAACAAAAAGCTTTACTAGCTTGCATGGAAAATGACAAAACAAATGAGGGCTTTAATGCTCATAGTCATGGTTTTTGTAACTACTGCTCAAAAAAGAGCTTCAAAAAATGATTTAAGATTTAAAATGATTGAATGTTTACTTCAAACGACCCGTAGATAGGGTAAGATTTGACTGGTGCTAAATTTCTTTTGCGTTAAAAGAAAAAGTCAGCTTTATTGATGTCTTTTAACAATGTTTTCTGTGTAGGTCTCAGCCACCACCTATTCTGCCGGTGGGCCCCAGCCACAAGTTTGCTAGCAACTACTATTACACCCGAGACGGCCGCAGACAGGCAGGACCCCCCACAGTTGTATGGCATTCACAGAAAGCTATAACTGCTGGCAGGTAAAACTAACTCCTCCATTCTGCATGGCTGCGTTACAACAGCTCTACAATGATTGGACATGTCAGTTAGTTCAAGTTTATTTCAAACTTATAGAAAAAATAATGACAAACTTAGACATTTAATGTATTCATGGTACTTTTAAGTGTTTGATTGTGCTTTTAAACATTAATGGTTGAATCTCTTTTAGCCAAGTTGCTGAGAAACCCAACGTTCCAGTGACACCAGGACCTCTTTATAAACCGCCGCCACTGTCCACGGACCAGCCGTACCTCTGAGCAGCAGCAAGATATTTCAGTGTTGGTTGTAACTTGTACAATAAAAGTGTAAATAAAAATACATGCCATGTTTCTGTGTATTTGTCCAACTCTATTTTTGGTCATGTTATTGTTGCCTGGCTTGTATGATCAATGAACAAATGTTTTGTTTACGTTTATTTGTTAATTTGGCTGATCTAACGAAGATGAGAGGATTAAATTGAGTTTTGAAAATGAACCCCATAAATTATTTCCATTTGAGTTTTTACAACCCTGTTGTCAGTTTAGACTTGATTTATTCTTGAAGTGTACGTTGGACATTTTTTCCTTAAAGACAAAATTTTGACTATATAATAAAATGATCTTTATAGAGTTGCTTTAGAACAATAGAAAGATGAGAAAAATATACATGAATGGTGTCACCAATATTTCAGTTTCAAATAAAAAGGAAATGTACATTTGATTATGCTACCAGTATGTGAGAGATGATGCAAAACATTCACAGGAGYATCAATGGTGACCTATACCAATGGTTCCCAATATATTTTCCTTAAAGCCCCTGTTCTTCCAAGATGAGTCCCCCCAATTTCCTCGTTTCTCCCCATCTCTCCCAAACATGTGGTTACCCTTAAACATTAAAGTGAATAATATACATAAATATATATGTATTATGTTATAAACTTTTATTTAGAAAAGGGGGAAATGGTAGTTGTACAACAAGTAACAACTACAAGAACATTGTGAGAATTACAGAAGTTTAAATTTATATTTTTACAAAGTTTGAGCAGACAATTATATCATACTTACCATGAAATTACCATCAGTCATAAAGAGGTGATACAGAATGAAATCGTCATGTTTCTTTAGTTCAATAAGTGGACGATTTAAACAGCCTTGGCCTTAATTAGTTTGAGAAACGCATAAAATCTGGTTTGACAGCGGCGACTCTTACGTCATCTTTCTGCGCCGCGTCGTCCCTAAATTCTCATCGAGCATGGGGCACCTTGGTGGGATTGTTTTGCTCATGGCACCGCTTTTCTGCCTCCTTGTTTGTGGTATGAGTTTCTGTCGCATGTGAAATATTTTACCCAGGAGTTTGTGTTCGGTGTTTTGTTTTGTTTTTGCAGTTTGTGTCGGACTTTCAGTCCTCCAGACACTTCCAGGCTGTTCGCACAGCTGCTGCTGCTGCTGCTGCTGCTGGTGGAAAGTTGTATTTTCTTTTATTATTATAAATATGAAATGAAATATTGCAGGAAGTTAGTCAGCCTGTTGTAGTCTTATTCCAATATATATTTTTTATTTTTAGACAATTGTTCAATATTGTTCAAAATATGTTTTATTTTTTTTTTAATGTAAGCTTTTATTAAAATAGTTCATTCATACTGCACATAAGGAAAAATATGGTTTGGTCAATGTTTTAGCYTACTGGTTTCATTTTTTGTATACATTGCCTCTTATTTATGTTAAAGTTGTTCTACTTTTCAGGCTTTTATTTATTTATTGATTTGATTGGTTGATTGATTGATTGATTGTGCGTGTTTTTGTTTTGTATATAGGTTAAACGTTCTTTCTTTATTAAGCTTATKTCCAGGGAATAGTTAAAACATATAAGGGACTGTGTAAATGCAAACAAAACTAAACGAAATAAATACATTTTCTGCTCAAGCAGAGTTAAAAACCAGAGTAAAGGGACTATTTTAAGTGTAGATTTAAAATGATTAACAGACTGAGCAGCTTTTCATTCAAAGGTCGGCYGTTCCACAGACTGGAGGCCAAACTCACCGTAACAGCTGCCGTTTTCACACCGTGGCTGTGCAGGGTGGCAGCTGATACGACTTMATGTTTTTTGTGTTTCAGGAGTTGCAGGCCACTCTTTACCTGCCTGCCACAAACGGCTGGAGTTCAGGTGCAGTGAGGGGTCGTGCATCTCGAGGTCGAAGGTGTGCGACGGCCACTCGGACTGCGAGGACGGATCAGATGAAGGCCACTGTAGTGAGTTATCAGTCTGATAACTTCTCTACAGTCTGGGCATACGTGTGTTTGTTTGTCTGTACAGTTAGCAAAATATCTCAAAAACCAGTGGACTGATTTTAAATGACTCTGCAGGGGCTGGCTCTTTGGATATTGGTAAATTTTTGTTTATCTAACCATGTGCCTCAGATTCATACAGTAAACCAACGCTCCACACAGTGTCTGCTAACCCTGCTGAGTACAGCTCTGATAAGAGTTGAATTCCCAGAATCCTTCCAACTTCGTAACATCAGCAGTGCCAAAGTCTTTCAGGTTTACAGCTCAGCTTTCACCAGATTATGATGCTGCTCATTTTTATTCATTAATTAAAAAACATTAAATCAACAAAATGTTAAAGATTTCTCWGAAAACCAGCGCCTTTTATGGCAAWCGTAATTTTACTTCACCGTTTTATGTAACGTGTTGCTCCTTCTGACCTGCATAGMTCCGGTTACCATGTGGGAATATTTTTCTAATCCCGCTGGGTTCATCCAGGCCTACTAGATTGCATTCCTTGGGGATTTGGTGTTTTTCYTGAACTTTCAGCTTCACCAGGAAAAGCCCTGAAGGAGTATGATGTTCTTATAAAACCTATAAGGCTTTGAGACCTAACACCTTTTTGTTATGTGGAAAACCAGCAGGTTTTAAAAAGTCCATATTTTCATTTCAAACCCGAGAACTTTAGTGTTTCTTCAGACGATCTTCACCGTAATAAAGTCAGAGTTTATTTGTTTTGAACTCTTAAAGTGCTTGTGACATAAAATTTTTGTATTAAACATGAATGCATTTTTGGAAAGACAACMTTGATAACATATTGCAAAACAAATTTCAAGCCCCAGAGATGAACAGTTATTGAGATATTTGTACATAAAGAAACAGGAAGTGATGTCAAAGGGGAATGTCTGCATGTAAACAGAGCATTGTTACAACAGCTGMTAACAGACTGTAGAGAAGAATCTGATGTTTCTTTAGATTATTATGAGTTACTATCAAACACAGATGATGAAGAGTTAAAGTTTTAAATAATATTGTTTTAATAAACAAAGACCAGAGTTTATTTTATTAATGAGTTCCCCTTTGATGTCACTTCCTGTTTCACTTTGGCTGAGCCAAATCCAAAAGAAAATGGTCCAGTTATGTGACAAAATGAGTAAAATCATATGTATCGTGCCAAGTTTTAAGTATAAAGATGTTTTCTATGAGTTTTTGTATATGAAGGATTTGCATGTCGTAGGCACTTTAATAACCTGCAGCTTTGACTCTTCACAGGTCACGTGTGGTGTAAGAAGGACGAGTTCGCCTGCCACAGCAGACGCTGCATCTCGGTGAAGTTCTTGTGTGACGGCGTGGACGACTGCGGCGACGGGAGCGACGAGGACTCCTGTCACAACTGCACCGCCGGTTTTTTCCTCTGCGGGCCGTCCGACGCCTGCCTGTCGGAAAACAAGCTCTGCGACGGACAAAGGGACTGCCGGAACGGGCACGACGAGTCCAGGGAGCTGTGCGGTTCGGTCCGGCCCCTCCCACAGAGCTCCCGGTCGTCGTGCGCGGCGTCCGAGTTCCAGTGTCGGGACGGAGCGTGCGTCCGTCACGCCTGGAGGTGTGACCACTCGCCTGACTGCTCCGATGGCAGCGATGAAGAAGATTGTGGTGAGCGATGTGGAGTAGCTCACTGCCTTTTTGGTGCCTGAATGTTAAATTAAGAAAAACTTTTTTCTCGGAAATTAAACAGATCAGGATTTGTCAGTGCTTAGAGAATGTTCAAACTTGCAGCTAATACCACACCAAACCTAAGCTCATTATCTGCTAAATCAACCCAGTTATAAATGTGTGTTTGCTGTAGGTTTGGGCTGTATTGACATAAAAATTTATCATGACTAATTGTGACATTTAGCTGATAACGATTAATATGATGATTAATGGATGACAGATGCACTTTTATGTCACCGACGTTGTGGGCTTGGTTCACATTTTCTGTCTTTCCTCACACTCTGGTTTATGCCGGTGTTTCAGGTGAAGGATTAGCGTTAGCTGCTCCACACTGCCTGCCTTCCATCACTGGGCTCACATGCACACCTGAGAGTGTGTTGTACACAAAAATATGAAATCACATGGCACTAGCTGCATTAATTGCAAATAGCCAAACATTAGTTGTTCAGTGTTACTGATGACTGATGCCCAATCCTAGTTTGCTAATATTAATTAGCTGCGGTGCCCATTTTAAAATGGGGCCACCCCAGAAGTCAAAAAGTTGTAGATATACATCTAATAATTACGTCACAAGAATTTCATTAAAATTTGTCCAGTGGTTCATGAGTTATTTTGCTAACGGATAAACAGAATTGATATCAAACTGATTCAGGTTTTCCTGTGAATGTTGCCRTTCTGCTGAACGTCCAGCAGAGGGCGCCGACGTACCTTTTCATAAAGCAAAGGAGCTACACAGGCTTTTGACTAGCTCTTAAAGGGGACCTATTATGCAAAATTCACTTTTTAAAGGTTTTTTTTTACTCAACTTTGGGTATGTACTTCTTAAAAAAACAGTCCTAGGACCAAAACAATGCACCCAGAGGCCAATTTACTGTAAGTAAATGTATTTTTAACGACAAGTTTTATACTTTCGTCATTTTGTGATGTTATAAGCCGTACGACAACCCACCAGAACCTGCGTTCAGCCCCTTACCTAGCAACCCCTGGGTGAAGCTCCACCTCCTCAGCATAAAAAGCCATCACAGTTGTTGTTGTGTAATGTGCAGCTCATTTCACAACAAGCCTCCAATAGGGCAATGGGTAGAGTGTTGGACCAGAGAGTGGGAGACCAGGGTTAGAGACCGGCACAGATACAAACAATTTAATTATTTATTTTCATTCGTTATGAACACGTTTTCTCATGTGTCTCTATTGTTTAGCTTATTAAAGCCTTGTTAAAGCCTATTTGTTCGAGTTTCTGAGGTATTTTGACCGCKGCTGCTCCCTGCTCTGGTAACAGCATGCAGAGTGAGCGCAGAGTAGAGGAGGGAGAAAAAAAACCTGCGACCACGACTCTGCCTCTGGGTCTCACTCAGGGTCTCAAATGGTTGTACAACGGAGCTTCTGCTATTTTTAGCCATGCTAACGTAAACGCTGGCTTTGGAGGGCGGAGTTAATGCCAACAGATTTTTGGAGGGCGTTACCAACAGAGCTCATTAACATAAACAGCTCTTCTGAACGGAAGTCAGAGCAGGCAGAACTAGAAAATGGGAAATTTTATAATCTGAGAATTATTTTGTGCATTAAATTGAATGAACATGGTCTGGATAGCCCACAGACATGCCATAAAAATTTCTAGGACCCATAATTGGTCTCCTTTAAATAGAGTAATAAAGATAAACAAACTAGTATTCCACAAAGAAATTCTTGTCCCCGTCACTAAAACTAAAACCTTCAAAGATAAGAAGGGAGGGTGCTCATTCATGATTACCTTGTAAATGACCTTATCTCTTGTGATAATGCATATCTGTCAAAGTATGTGTATATGATGTTAGGGCTCAGAGTGTTACTATTTTTGTGTTTGCTGTAGTTATTTAGCTGTGGCAGCCATCTTAAATACGTTTTCAGTAAAATTCGTCCAGTGAGAGAGTTTGTCAAAATTGCACACATGCACAAAAACAAACAGAAGTCTGTATGGATTGCTTTTTACTGACTTTAATTACTACCTCAGTGCCTGGGGTATTTTAAAGATTAAAACAGTCTTACTAACACAGTTGACAGTCTGGAAGCCACTAAGTAAATCAAATGAACTTATGTCAGTGCTCGCTCRTCTCCAAAGCAGAGACTGAAGGAGTTTAACTTTTAATAAAACCGTTTGCTTTTCTATTGGTTCATTTAGTAACTCTTCAGAACACGAAGCTGAGAAAGATACGAGTTGAACAACTGATCACCAGTTAACTCTAAAGAGCAAACCTGGATCTCTCTTTTCATAGTTGGATAAATAAAAGTGAAGCAGGCAGTTTGTCAGTAAACTCTGTTGGCTATTTGAATTTGTCTCAGTTCTGTTCAATCCCTGGCTGTGGTTTACTGTTTATCAGCTCATCTGTTGGACTGAGAGTCATGATGCACTGAACTGTGGAGAAGAGAAGGGTGTAACTGTGTTCCAGGTCCAGACAGTCATTCTCCAAGTGTCTGATGTAATATGAAATGTAAAGATGGGACAGAGGCGTGCTGTCCTTGGATGATTCTCACCAGGCTTAAATCAGTTCTTGTAGTCATTATGTCTTCAGATATCTAACCCGTCATTCTTCACAGGAGAAATGATCATATTAACAATATTTAATCTGATTAGGACATCCTCCTCCATAAGTTTTATTTATAATAAACACTTCAACAAGATGAATGAAAATAAGGCTTAAATTTTACTTTTTTTTTCCTCCTATAATGTAAACGCTGAGTTACGAATTTTAATTCTGAAGAAGCTGGAACTGGATTGTTAGAATCAAAACAAGCAAAACACAAATATAATTAGCAAAGCTGTACCTAAAAGCTAGTTTAAAAAATATAACCTAGCAGAAACAAAGCTAAAGACTTAAAATATGGCTTAAAAAATAAAATGAACAAAGTCATAGCTAAATGTAAATTGGCAAAAAAAATAATAATTTGAAAGCTAGAATTTACAAAACTAAATCTAAAAGTTACATTAGCTAAAGTTAGCATAACTAACTAGCTAAAATATACAATTATAGGTTAAATTAACAAAATGCTTAAATTAGCAAAACAAAATCCAAAATCTACATTAGCTAAAATTGTCATAACCTAAAATCTAAAATTTGCAAAACCATAGCAAATATAAAAAACAATTTAGCCCAAACCTTGGCAAAATGGCAAATATTGGTTAAACCAGTGTTTCCCAAAGTTGGGGTCGGGACCCAAAGTGGGGTCCCGAAACATCAAGGTGGGGTCCTGAAAAAATTTTCTGAATTAATTACATTTTTG